TTGCCCATGTCCCCCGTGCCCTCCATGTCCCCCGTGCCCTCCATGTCCCCCGTGCCCTCCATGTCCCCCATGCCCCAATGTCCCTGTTGCCCCCCATGTCCCCCATGCTCCCCGTGTCCCCATTGCCCTCCATGTCCCCCGTGCTCTCCATGTCCCCCGTGCACCTCATGTCCCCATTGCACCCCATGTCCCCTTTGCCCCCCATGTCCCCACAGCCCTCCACATCCCCCCTGCCCCCTGTGCCGATGTGCCACCTGCCCGCAGGGTGTACCGCCTGCATGAGCGCCTCGTGGCCATCCGCACCGAGTACAACCTGCGGCTCAAGTCGGGCGCGCCGGCAGCAGCAGTGACGGTGCCGCTGGGGCAGCAGCCGCGGCAGGAGCTGGACGAGGCGACACTGCGGTACCTGCAGGACCTGCTGGCCTGGGTGGAGGAGAACCAGCGGCGGCTGGGGGCGGCCGAGTGGGGCATGGACCTGCCCACCGTGGAGTCCCACCTGGGCAGCCACCGCGGCCTCCACCACTCCATCGAGGAGTTCCGCACCAAGATCGAGCGGGCGCGGGCCGACGAGGTGAGTCGCCAACCGCGGCGTCCCGCCAGGGCTGCCCTCGCCCCTGCTCCGGGGGGTCCCTGAGGCATCGGGGCTGTGTTCAGGCTGGTGGGGGGCTCTGGGGAGAGCAGCCCATCCCAGCTCCCCTTGGCCCCCCTGGCCCCAGCTCTGCCCCCGCCAGCTGCCTGCTCTGGAACCCCTCTGTACCCTGGGATGCCCTGATGGCCAGGGGCCACGGTGCCCCGAGGGCTGGCCCCCCCGCTGCCCGCTTCCCTTCCCAGGCGCTGCCCCACCTTCAGCCCCCCCGTGCGCTGGGTGGGGGGATCCGCAATGGGAGGGGGCGCTGCCCCCGGCGCAGAGGGGCTGCTGGGGCTGGCGCTGCTCCCTCCGTGCGTGGCACTCGTCCTGCCCCGTAGCCCTGCCCCGGCACTCCCCGGCGTTAGGGTCTCTCCCTGGACCCCACCTTTGGGAGGCTGGGGTGCGCTGGGGAGGCCGGGGTGCTGCTGTCCCCAGGGGGTGCGTTGGGAGGTCCCCACACTCACGGCACATCTCCCCCAGGCACAGCTCTCCCCCGGCCCCCGCAACGCCTACCGGGAGTGCCTGGGCAAGCTGGACCTGCAGTACGCCAAGCTGCTGGTGAGGCTGGGGGCCGGGGGG